GGGGAGGGGGCTTCAGAGGGGGGTGGTGGCATCCCTGGGGGTGGTGGCATCCCCAGGGTTGGTGGCATCTCAGATGATGGTGGTGGTGGCATCCCAGGTGGTGGCACTCCAGAGGTTGGTGGCATCTCAGATGGTTGGGGCATCCCAGGTGGTGGCACTCCAAAGGCTGGTGGCATCCCAGATGGTGGTGGCATCCCAGGTGGTGGCACTCCAGAGGTTGGTGGCATCTCAGATGGTTGGGGCATCCCAGGTGGTGGCACTCCAAAGGCTGGTGGCATCTCAGATGGTTGGGGCATCCCAGGTGGTGGCACTCCAAAGGCTGGTGGCATCTCAGATGGTTGGGGCATCCCAGGTGGTGGCACTCCAAAGGCTGGTGGCATCTCAGATGGTTGGGGCATCCCAGGTGGTGGCACTCCAAAGGCTGGTGGCATCTCAGATGGTTGGGGCATCCCAGGTGGTGGCACTCCAAAGGCTGGTGGCATCCCAGGTGGTGCCACCCCTGAGGGTGGTGGCACTCCAAAGGCTGGTGGCATCTCAGATGGTTGGGGCATCCCAGGTGGTGGCACCCCCGAGGGTGGTGGCATCCCCGTGGTTGGTGGCATCCCTTGAGCTGGTGGCATCTCAGATGGTGGTGGCATCCCTGGGACCTGTGGCATCCCCATGATTGGTGGTACCCCCGGAGCTGGTGGTGGCATCCCAAATGGTGGTGGCATCCCAGGTGGTGGCACCCCTTGAGCTGATGGCATCCCCGTGGCTGGTGGCATCTCAGATGGTGGTGGTGGCATCCCTTGGGTCGGTGGCATTGCAGATGGTGGTGGTGGTGGCATCCCCACAGCTGGTGGCATCCCTGGAGCCGGTGGTGGTGGCATCCCTTGGGCTGGTGGCATCCCTACACCTGGTGGCATCCCCATGGGCGGTGGCATCCCTGGAGCTGGTGGCATCCCAGAGAGTGGTGGCATCCCGGATGGAGGTGGCATCCCCATGGTTGGTGGCATCCCCGGAGCTGGTGGCAGCACGGTGGGCACCAGTTGTGGTGGCAACCCAGGAGCTGGTGACATCCCTGGGGCCAGTGGCATCCCCTGGGCTGGTGGCATCCCTGGAGCTGGTGCCATCCCAGTTGGTGGTGGCATCCCCAGGGCTGGTGGCATCCCAGCTGGTGCTGGCATTCCTGGAGCCAGTGGCATCCCTGAGCCTGGTGGCACTCCTGGAGCTGCTGGTGGCATCCCAGTTGGTGGTGGCATCCCAGCTGGTGGCATCCCGGTTGGTGGTGGCATCCCTGGAGCTGGTGACATCCCTGGTCCTGGTGGCATCCCAGCTGGTGGCATCCCAGTTGGTGGTGGCATCCCAGCTGGTGGCACCCCTGGTCCTGGTGGCATCCCAGCTGATGACATCCCAGCTGGTGGCATCCCAGTTGGTGGCAACCCTGGTCCTGGTGGCATCCCTGGTCCCGGTGGCACTCCTGGAGCTGGTGGCACCCCTGGAGCTGGTGGCATCCCAGTTGGTGGCATCCCTGGTCCTGGTGGCATCCCACATTTGGGGGGGGTTGGTGGCGGAGGAGCTGCTGCCGGACGTGTTGATCCACCTCCGTGTCCTCGTTTTCGGGTGGGGCCCGACCTTCTGCTTGTTTCTTCTCCCGCGTCTTCTTCACCAACGTCAACCGGTCCCGGATGGATTTGGCCACCGCTTTGGAGTCGCTCTCGTGGAAGAAGCCTGGTGGCATCCCAGCTGGTGGCATCCCAGTCGGTGGTGGCACCCCTGGAGCTGGCGGCATCCCAGCTGGTGGCATCCCAGTTGGTGGTGGCACCCCAGATGGTGGCATCCCTGGAGCTGGTGGCATCCCAGTTGGTGGTGGCATCCCTGGTCCTGGTGGCATCCCAGCTGATGACATCCCAGCTGGTGGCACCCCTGGTCCTGGTGGCATCCCTAGTCCTGGTGGCATCCCAGGTGGTGCCATCCCAGTTGGTGGTGGCACCCCTGAAGCTGGTGGCATCCCAGCTGGTGGCACCACTGGTCCTGGTGGCATCCCAGTTGGTGGCATCCCAGTTGGTGGTGGCATCCCTGGTCCTGATGGCATCCCAGCTGGTGTCATCCCGGTTGGTGGTGGCATCCCTGGAGCTGGTGGCATCCCAGCTGGTGGCACCCCTGGTCCTGGTGGCATCCCTGGTCCTGGTGGCATCCCAGCTGATGACATCCCAGTTGGTGGTGGTACCACTGGAGCTGGTGGCATCCCAGTTGGTGGCACCCCTGGTCCCGGTGGCATCCCAGCTGGTGGCACCCCTGGTCCTGGTGGCATCCCAGTTGGTGGTGGCATCCCAGCTGCTGGCACCGCTGGTCCTGGTGGCATCCCAGTTGGTGGCATTCTCGTGGAAGAAGCCGGATTTCACCTGGGGGGGGGGGAGAAAAGGGGGGGGAAGAAAATGGGGCGTCCGTGGGGAGCAAGAGGTAGGGAAGGTGGAGAACTTGACTTTGGAAGGGGTCAAGGTCAATTTGAGGGACCAACGGCTGGTGGCATCCCAGTTGGTGGTGGCACCCCTGGTCCTGGTGGCACCCCCAGAGCTGGTGGCACCCCCAGTGCCACTCCAGACCCAGCAGGTGCCACCACCGGTCCCGGTGCCCCCGGAGCCGGCTGTAGCCGTGCCACCCCCACCGATGACGTCACCCCCCCCTCCCCGTCCCCGACGGGTGGCTCCGTCACCCCCGCGGTGGTGGCACCTCCGCCGACGTCCACCGCTGTCCCCTCCGCCCCGTAGGTCACCTGTTGGGCAAGACGTTGGGGTGAGGACATTGTCCCCCCCTTTGTCCCCAACCCTCCCCGGTGCCACCAGGACTCACCTGTTGGCCACGAGGGGGGGACACCCCATCTTGGGGGGGTCCTGGTGCCCCTCCTTGGTACCCCCCGAGGAGCTCGGGTGCCCCGGTGCCACCCCGGGTGACATCGGAGATGGCCCCGTTCTCCCCCAGCCCATCGGATTGAGCAGGAGGGAGGAATTTTGGGGGGCC